GGCTAGTGGAGACCAGCCCAGGTCTCAAAAAGGTTGCCGGTCCCTGCTGTAGACCGAGATATGGAGAAATATATCTGGGTGTCGTCAGCGTACTGATAACACCCTGGCCCATGTCTCCGGATGATCTCTCCCAGCAGCTTCATATAGATGTTAAATAGCATCAGGAACATGATGGCGCCCTGAGGAACACCACAATTAATCTCCTTTTTAGCTCTCTATTTTGACAACAACTCGGGAAGAATGGAGTAGGGGGAAAACAGCAATATTCAGTGCTTTAAAAACAAATGAAAGAAGCAAGCTTCTAGCCCTTATGGCCAAGATCCTATATGGCAGAGTAGCTCTGCCCACAGAGTTCTTGCAAGCGCTGGGAGGTGAAATGGTTTGCCATTGGGAATGGAAGGACGGAGTAGGCAATTCAGACTATGAAAAAGCTGCTGAACTCAGCTTGGTAGTGGGGAGAAATGATACTGTGATCATAAATCATAAATGAAAGATTTCTTTCCTCCACGAGAAAGAATGGCCCCTGCTGGGCCATTCCCACCCATCCCAACCTGTCCAAATGCTATTAATTCGTAGATGGACATCCTGCTAATGACATGTGTACATGTAAATGCAGCTAATGTATTTTTTGGACAGAATTAATACAGTCTGACACTGCTTAGCTGCCATGGCTCACTGCTATGGAATTCTAGGATTTGTAGTTTTGTGAGATATTTAGGCCTTCTCTGTCAGAGAGCTCTGGTGCCACAATCCCAGATCCACAGCATTGATCCATGGCAGTTAAAGTGGTGTCATAAACTGCATTAATTCTACAGTGCAGACCTACGGCAGTGTGTTTCTAGAGCTATGATGGCCATCGCCAAGACACATGGCAATTGTTCCTAGGACAGCAGATTCAACTGAGTTCAAACGAGGAGGGAAAGAGAAATGCGAGCAAGAAAATAAAATGATCCCAGTGATTAATTAGTATAATGTTGCTAAAGTACTTCAACACTATAACTCCTGAATAATAATTAAAAAGGTCTCAGTGGAAATTGGTAAAGGGCAATTTCTTGAACGTTGCCTGGGAGCCTTATCACATTACATACAAACAAACCCAGCAGGCAAGGAAAAAGAAGCGTGTTTCTTTTTCTGTCTCTGCACAACGTCGAAGTACTTTCATTCTTGTCCATTTGTAAAAGGGTAAAAGAGGGTTGTAAAAGCGTCCCTTTTGCCAAATGGATTTTTCCAGCTTGGCAAAAGGGACGCTTTTACAACACTTTTACGACCCTCCTCTCCCATGCTTTTACAACTGAAGAGAATGAAAGTAGTGGCAAGACAGAAACAGAAACACATTTATCTCTGCTTGCCTTTTGTTTGCGATATGATAAAGCACTGATTCTACATGTGAAACATGATCAGTGGTAGAGGTAGGAGGAAGATCACAAGGGAGGGAAACCTGTGATATTTCAAGAAGAGTTTGGATGCAAAACCATCAATGTGTAGGTAAAATCAAAACAAAAAAGAGCAAGAAAGTCTTGATACTTCCAGGGACTCCCCCCCCCCATCTGGATATGCAAAATTTTGACTCCCCCAACCCTGACAAAGCCTGTTTTCTGTTTTTGTATTTTTCTAGACCCTACTTATGGAGGGCAATAAAACATCCTTTATTTTCCATGTTTTTAATCAATAAGCTAATACTGGCTTGCATCTCTGAACATGTCCAAAAGTGTCTTGCACTGTGTTATACATTCACCCAGCAGGATCTGTCCCCCACCACCATCCAACATGCCAGAAAATTGTTTCCGGAAAAAAAATGTAAATATTACCAAAAAGGCAGACAGGCTGCAAATGTTTCCCACAGATTGTCTTGCCAGAGGATACAAGCGTAGACATATGGTGAGTGAATCCAGCTGCAGACGTCTCTGACGGCTTCTATATCCCTTGATGAGAGCTCGGAAAAGTTACTTTTTTGAACTACCATTCCCAGAATGGCTGGAGGAGTGGATTCTGTGAGTTGGAGTCAAAATGACTGTGTTCAAACTTTGCCCTTGCACATATCTCACAGATATGCTTGCAGGTCACAGAATCCTCTAGTCTGCAGGGTCAGTAGTATCCCCTCCAACATTTCACAGATGAAAAACAGGACACATGCATCCAGCAACAAGAAAGTGAGATCAGATGGCAAAAGTTAGTAGTGAAGAAGAACATATGAGATAGGCAAGGATGGAGCAGTTTGCTTTTTTCTGAGTCTACTGGGAAGAACAAGCTTCTGTTCCCTCCTCTTCTCTCCTGTCCTCTCTCTTCTGCTTTGCTAACAGAGTGCAAACTCGTTTTTTGCATTTTGAATTGAGTTTGCAGCAACTAAAGTAAGTGAAGGACAAAGGGGGAAAGTGGAAGGAGGAGAGAGAAACTGGGACGTTTAAGAGCCAGCAGAAAAAGTGGGACAGCAGAACTGCCCTTGCCAAACATTTGGAGAGTGTGCAGCAGTTATACTGGCAGGGGGATTCTGGGAGATGTAGTCAAATACATGTTTGTTTGTCTGTTTTTTTTATCATAGAGCCCTTAGACTGTGAAATGACTTGCCAGAAGAGAT